TCTAAAGCCCACTTGAGAGTGGCAAAACTTGCATTTTTAAACCTACTTGCGAGTAGCAAATCATTTTCAAAACAAACATGCCATGTTTTGTTCCAATTTAGGCGACTTGGTCTATACTTGTTTACTGTGCGCACAACATAGTAATTCTAGGCTAATAACCGGAATAAGAACACATAATGCTTTCAAAACAAGATATCACAGTTAGTAGAGGCCGATCTTCGGATCAGGCGAGAGGGGGTGCTCATAGCTGACTTTCCCCAATCGTATCCAAGTTCCCGAACCGAGGCAACTTTGGTGATGACGGACACGTGGCCTTTGGCACCGAGTCAGGGTTTCCTAAATTCCCCCAAAATAAAATATTTAGGTGGCGACTCTGTATCTGGCAAAGCAGTCCATGTTTGGCACTTCTTTAAAAAAAATTTGTTTTCTTAAAACGATTTGCCAGATTTGGACTCTTTGGTTCAGATTAAGAACCGTGACACGAATCGAGTCTGAACTGTAGTGAGGGCCCCTCACAGGCGCGTCTACAGCGTTATTGTCTGCCTAATTTGTCTGATCTGTCCAATCTATCCGATCTACTTCTACAACTATCCGTGAGTAATAACTTAGTAAAGCTATGTTCAACTTTATTTATTTTCTGTATGATGAATTAAGATCTATTTTCTGAAATGATATGTTCTGTGCAATGAATGATTGTCCAATTTCTGACAATGTATTTGTGGCATCCTTAGTATCATGTAATATCTGTTAGCTGTTACCCGGTATCGGAGGTTCCATTATGGAACTTAATATGTTTGTACTCTGTTACCCGTACCAGAGGCTCCATCATGGGGCTCAGCATGCTTATTCTCTGTTACCCGGATCCGGAGGTTCCTTTATGGAGCTGGTTATTTATAACCACCATATGTTTTGTTAGTGCTAATGGATGTACCACGTATGATTAAGCATGAACTCTGATTTCTGTATATGATTTGAACAAGAATACGAACGTGAATATGAATATGACTCTGTTTATGAATCTGAATTGTGATTTCTGAATATGGTATATACATCATTCATTAAAACCCTTTACTCTGTTATTATTCACTGGGCTCTAGTTCACTGTATTATTTATGTATGTAGGTAATCAGGCGCGTGACCAGGCTTAGAGGCGTCTGCCTGGAATCTGTTTTTTTGTCAGCCAACCTATGTGCCTCCCATGGAGGTTCCGGATATGTCAAGCGGCTATGGCTATGTGATTTAAAGTTTAAGTTTCGTTTTCTTGTTTGGTTAAACAAGTCTTGTGTATTTTGTAAATAGGGCTAAGTCCTTTTTTGTCTAATCTGTATATATATAATGACGTAAGGACGATGTATATATGTGTATATAAAAAAGTTTAAAATTTTTCTATCTCATATAAGTCTGCACAGCTCAATGGACGTTGTATATTTGTTATTTGCTTCCACTAGCCCCTAATATTATGTTAATTTATCTCAGAGGCTTTCGGTAATCCCAGGATTACTAGCCGGTTACGACGCTAAACCCATAGGGGCGGGTTTAAGTCGTGACATATGTGAACAAATTTAATTAAGATCTCAAATCAATGTAAATAAAGTGTGTGTCTTACCAATAGTATTACCGGCAGTCACCTCAAGTTGAGGCTCCACATTGAGAGGTGGTGGCGGATGGCTAGCCACCTCAGGACATGAAGAGGTATCCCTATCTTCTGATGAGTGGGTCAATGTCTCGAGATGAGATTGTGAACGGGCTCTCGATAGTATCTCTAATAGCTGAATAACATAATAAAATATGAATATATGTACAAAGATATACATGTCTATGTGTGTATGAATTGAAAGAAACAAGAAAGAATATGTTTCACAATGCATAAATGTATAGGACCTTATGCTCAAACGAATCATAGGATTTAGTGTCACTGCCATCTTCAGCCTCTGACGGTCGATAATCATCGTCATTTTCCTCAATTGGTATTTGTTTTTCCTTCCTCAATTTCTTATGTTAAACCGCAGCCTTTAAACAAGTTGTTATATTCTTCACTCCTAAAGCATTCATTCTCTTACGATGTTTATTAATTGTCTTCATTCTTTGTTTCTCATAGTTCGTTACCTTCTTAGTTACGGTACTTGGTTTGGTCAATTGTTTTTTTTGTAATGTCCATTTTGCCCAACTATAAAGCATAATTGAACATTTTTTTGGTGGATAAGCATAATTGAACATTAGATGTAAAGAAAAGTTAATTATATATTTCTATACATAAAGCATAAAGCAACAACAATCTCAACAAGTGAATATGTCATATAGGCTCTAAATCATTGAAATATGGCTAGAGTGAGATGGATGATTTTTGTTTTTACCTTTTGCATATCATAGAACAAATTAATTATAAAGCCATCAGACACATAATATGACCAATCAACGATAAACCTACATAACAGTGGATGAACCCCACAACGGAAATTCAACCACATTAATTAAGAACAATGTTCATATAGAAAGTGCAAAATAATTACAAATCCTAGTCTACATCAAGATCCATATCGTAATCCACATTAGGTTCGTCACACTCTTCATTTTGTTTGTCAGCTTTATTCTTTGCCATTATTTCATCAGATGACCTAACCCTTGTAACAACTTCTGCTTCAATACCGTCTCTATAACATTGAACATTAGGGCCGATGTCAATTGGAACAACATCGGTAATATTTTCTTGCTAGAACACATTGTTTTCTTCTGGTTCATCTAATGATTCTCCATCACCTACCTCTGGTACATCAAAGACACCCCTATGTTACACTCGTTGAACGACTTGCCAAGGTTGTCCCCATTTGGTATCATTTAGGTAAAAGACTTGCTTAGCCTGGCTAGGCAAGATGAAAGAGTCGTATTGATACCACTGACTTGTGACTTCAATACTTATGCAATAATCATCGGTTCGCAATGTTCTACGTCGACCTGTGTTTCCTGCGTTGTACCATTCACACTGGAACAATACAACTTTGTTATGACACATGTAGTCCAATTCCCAAACATTGCACAAGTGACCATAAAATTCATGCGTCACTCCCTCATGATCCCTTTCCGTAAGCACACCACTATTCTGATTCTTATGGGGATTGTCTACTTCTCTTGTATGAAACCATACGCTATTGATTATGCAACCTGAGTACTCTTTTACTAGCAAATTTGGGCCATTTGCTAACGACCATAAATCATTGGTTGCCTCTGGTGACTTTTCTTCTTTCAATATATTTATCTACAATCACATATAACGTACATCAAGATAGTAAAAATAAATTAATAAATGATCAAATCTTATACAAATTTTTAATCATGTCTTAAAATTGAAAATGCCTTAGCTGCTCTTTGAACCACTTGGGAAACTCTTGTTGTTGTATACAGGTTATGTCTTGGTCAGACGGAGTCCGTAATAGATTTTTGTGTATCCTACTCAAAAGAATGTGATTATTATGCATTGCTAACTACATTAACAAAGCTAAGAATACACTTATTTAAATGAAAAACATACTCTAGATACTTTTCTATCTCGGGGCTATTGTTCAATAAGAACCAATGAACGATATTCTTGTGACATATCAGCATCCCTTATGATTAGGCCAATAAGACGGGCAGTTTCTGTGAATACAGTCAACCCTTTGCGACGTTCGCCACGATCTTGATTTCGTTCGTGTCGATTATGCACTGTTTCGATCCCATCAACATACATTGAACAAAAAGTAATGCACTCTTTGACAATGTAAGCCTCTGCGATTGAACCTTCTGGTCGAGCTCGGTTTGTAACAAACTTTTTTAAAGCACCGAGAAACCTTGAAAAGAGAATTAGTTAAGAGCAAGGTTACACATGCAACATATAATTACGAACCTTTCAATTTAGCAATTACCTTTTAGTCCAATACATCCATTGATATTGCACCGGTCCTCTAAGAATGGCCTCACGCGGCAAGTGAATGGCCAAGTGAACCATCACATCAAAGAAGGCTGGAGGAAAGATCTTTTCAAGCTTGCATAATATGTGTACTATATGTTCCTCTAATTTCTCAAGTTCATTACGGCGCAGTGTCCTTGAGCACAAATCTTGGAAAAAGTTACCTAACTCAAATAGTGTTTTACTAATCTCTTTGTCTACGTAACCATGCATCCCAATTGGTAGAATCCGTTGTATGAGTACATGGCAGTCATGACTTTTCAAGCCTGTTAATTTACCATTTCTCGCATTCATTGATCTTGATATGTTTGCAGCATAGCCATCCGAATACTTCATTGGTTTCAAGAATTCAAAGAAACCCTCTTTCTCTTCAGGGGTCAATGAAAAGATTGCCCTAGGTTTGACATAAGTTCCATCAGGACGACGTGTTAACCACAACTCTTTCCTTATACCCATATTTTCCAAGTCCATCCGTGCTTTGTCGATGTCTTTGTTCTTTCCATCAATGCCTAACATAGTTCCAAAGGTATTTTCACTAAAATTCTTCTCGACGTGCATGACATCAATGTTGTGTCGAAGCTTCCTTTTCTTCCAGTATGGTAACTCATACAAGATGCTTACCTTTGTCCAATTTGGTGCCTGACGGAGTCTTTTCTTGTTTCTTGGATGCTTCTCATATGTGACACCTGTCACTCTGTCCAATTGCTCTAATATCTTTTCCACTGGTAACTCTAAAGATCTCTTTCGCTTCTCGTGCTTACCATTGTAAGCCTTACTCTTTCGCCTTTCGAGGTGGTCTTGAGGCAAGTAGCATCGATGGTTAGTGTATGCAGTCTTACCTTTCCAGGATTGAAAATATGGTTCATCATTGCAAGTGTAGCAAGAATAATGACCCTTTGTTCTCCACCCAGATATGTCACCAAATGCAGGCCAATCATGTATAGTCCACATCAAAGCTGCACGCATCTGGAAAGACTCACTAGTTACGACATCATAAGATAATGCACCATTTTTCCACAACTCATTCAACTCATCTACCAGAGGTCTCATGTAGACATCAATATCGATCCCTGGTTGTGATTCTCCAAGAATAAGTAATGACATCATAAGAAAGGGAAGGTGACAAGTTATAAGGAATGAGTACTACAGGCTGCAAACTATATGAGTTGCTCATGTTCCCGAAAGGATTAAACCCATCAACAACCAACCCTAGCCTCATATTTCGAGGCTCCACGACAAACTGAGGATGTTGTGTATCAAATTCCTTCCACTCATCACTATCGGCGGGATGCCTCAATACTCCATCATCTATACGTTTGTCCTTGTGCCATCTCATGTCCTTAGCAGTCTTCCTTGACATGTACAATCTTTTCAACCTTGGTGTCAATGGGAAGTACCGCAACACCTTATGGGGAATCTTCTTACCCCTGCCACGATTGATCTTGTATCTGGATGCCTTACATTTTGGACATTTATCTAACCTTGTATTTTCCTTCCAAAAGAGTACACAATCATTTATACAAGCATCAATTAATTCATATGACAAGCCCAAATCACAAAGTATTTTCTTAGCTTCATAAAATGGCTTTGGAACCAAATTATCTTTTGGTAAAAGTTTTGTTAAAAACTCCAACAGTGTGTCAACCGACTTATTGCTCCAATGGTTTGTTACCTTCATATTAAGAAGCTCGATGACAAACTTCAACAGAGTGTAGTTTGTGCAACCTAAGTACACCTCACGTTTGGCAACATTCAATAGTTTATCCAACGTTTGTACTTCCTCACTCTGGGGTGCATCATTGGGTTCTCCTCTTATTTGATCTTCCACTAAGGCATCAATACCACCTAAACGTTTTTCTTCATCAATTGCCATATCGTGGTGAGCCTCATTTGATACACATGGTTCCCTATGCTCATGCCAAATAGTGTACGTTTGCATAATCCCATATTGAAGTAAATGAATTTGCACATTTCGAAGATTTTGGGAATAATAGTTCATACAGTTCAAACATGGGCACAGAATTTTACCTTCTTGGTCAACAACTGCTATTGCAAATTTAATAAATGATGTCACCCCATCAATAAATGGCTGACTCATCCTTCCATCAGGTGTCTTACCCAACGCAATCCAACTCTTGTCCATGTCTGATCACAAATGAAAGATCAAGATTTTTTAATTTGTATGTTATAAAACGCATCATGTGTACTATTAGCCTATTCCATTTAGGAGTGCACAATGTGTATCATACAAAGAAAATCATATGACGTCGTCTATCTCTAATATTTCCTTAGTTCTCCAAGTATATAACATAGATTGAGATGGAACATATTTAAGTAGTAAAGTTGCAAAGTACAATGTAGACTAGTGTATTTTCAAATTGTTTGAATTTGGCCGTCTAAGAAAAACTTTTTTTTTTTGGTAATTATAGTCATGAAATAGATTAGCGAAAACCCCACTACACAGCTTCCAAACCAACTAAACTAAGCCAATAACTAAGCTACGAGAAAAATGAAGCTAACAACTAAGCGAAAACCCTACTACTGCTCCTCACCAGATCAATGACAAAATGCAACAGCTGCTCACCCACAATGCCAAAACAGAACAGATTGTGAACTAGACCATCACAACAGATTATGTACCAAACCACTGAGAGCAGCTGCTGTAATGCCCTCAAAATAATACATAAAACCCATCACTTTAGACATGCATTGATATAAAAAAAACCAACCATTTCTATTCATCAGGGTAATTCTTACAACTGTATTACATGTTAACAACAAAAACAAATGCCCTATGGGCTTACAGCTTTCCAAGTCAACACCTGGTTACACAAAAGAAGAGTACTAACTCTATACAGAATAAGCCCTTGGCTTGATATACATGTAAAACAAACAAAATAAAAACAAAAAAGAGTTTTCAACTCTCATCATCATCCAAGCTATGTCATTGGAGGTGGCATACTACCTGTACCTGAAAATAATGTCCCATAAAGGGTGAGCCAATGCCCAGTAGAGATATGCTAAACACAGTATGAGCAATGACGAAGACATTAGCAATTGATAAATGTTCAATTTCCATAAACCAATTCATAACCCATTTCCATTTCATGAGCACCATGTTCATGTTTCATTTCAATTTCCATTACTTATCAATTTCACAATTTACATCAACGGCTCAGAACTTGGCCAACCACTTATATGAGACAGTGACTCATATTAAATATTTTCCATTTTTACAATAGATAAACATACTAGTCGTATCAACATCTCAACAGATAAGCATACAAGCTGTATCCATATTTCAACAGATATGCATATGAGCTATATCAACACTTCCAAAGATAAGCATATGAGCTGTATCAACACTTCCAAAGATAAGCATATGAGCTATATCAACACATTATCTGACAAGCATATGAGCTGTATCAGTGGAGTCCATCCCCTATCTCCTCCCAAACAACATCCGGTTTAGAGGTCCACCCCCTATCTTCCCCTGAACCGTGGAGTACATCCCATATCTCCTCCCAAACAAACAA